GGGATTTACCTTGTTGGCCAGGCTGGTCTCGAACTCCTGGCCTCAAGTGATCTGCCCACTTTGGCCTCCCAAAAGTGCTGGGATTACAGGCATGAGTCACCACACCCAGCCTATATCTCCATTTTTAAAATGCTACAAATGTTTTAAATTGGTAAATAATTTGAATACGTGTTCCTCAAAAGAAGATATGTAAGTAGCCAATGAGAATAAAAAGAGATGTTTAACATCATTCGTCATCAGGTGTCTTAGTCCATTCTGTCGGCTATAACAAAATACCATTTTTTTGAAGGCTGAAAAGTCCAAGATCAGTTTCCAGTGAGAGCTGGTTTCCCGATTCATAGATGGCACCTTCTTGCTGTGTCCTCTCGTGGTGGGAGGGGCAAGGCAGCTCTCTGGAGCCTCTTTCATAAGGAAAAAATTTCATTCATGAAGTCCACCCTCATGACTAATCATCTCCCAAAGGTCCCACCTCCTAACACCATCACATTTGTGATTTGGTTTCAATATATGAATTTGGAGGCATGGTGTGGGGTACAAACATTCAGACCATAGCATCAGAGAAATGCAAATTAAAACAATTAGATACTTCTTCAGATCCACTAGGATGGCTGCAATCAAAATAGTACATAATGAGTGTTGGTGAAGATTTGGAGAAATCAGAATCCTCATACATTGATGGTGAGAATGTAATATTGTGCAACCACTTTGGAAAAGTTTTGCTTAGAGTTACCATATGTTCCAGCAGTTTCACTTCTAGGTGTATACCCCAGACAAATAAAAACATGTGTCTACACAAAAACTTGTATATGAATGTTCATACCAGCATTATTCATAGTGGACACGAAATGGAAACAATAAAAATGTCATTCAACTGATGAATGTATAAAAAAACATGTTAAGCCAGGTGCAGTGGTGTATACCTGTAGTCCCAGCTACTCAGGAGGCTGAGAGAGGAGGACTGCTTGAGCCCAAGAGTTTCAGGCTATACTGCACTATGATCATGCCTGAGAAATAGCCACTGTACTCCATCCTGGGCAACATGGAAATATCCCATTTCTAAAGGAAAAAAAAAAGTCATACGTCATATATCCATAAAATGGAATTTATGGCCATTTAAAGTAACACAGTACTGACACATGCTACAACATGAAAGAACCTTGAAATATTATGCTAAGTTAAAGTCAGTCAGTCACAAGACCACATATTGTATGATTCCCTTTATATGAAATGTCCAGAATTGGCAAATCTATAGAAACAGGAAGTAGATTAGTGGTTATCTAGGGCTAGGAAGATTGACAGATGACGGCTAAAGCCTTCAGGGTTTTTCTGGGACAATGACGAAAATGTTCTAAAACCAACTGTGATTATTGCACAACTCTGAGAATATAGCAAAAATAATTGCATACATTAAATGGGTAAATGTATGATATGTGAATTATATCTCAATAAACCTGTTAACAAAAGTTCATAATCCATCATGAGTGAGAGTTAGCGGAAAAAAGAAAACAACTGCAGAAATAAGAAAGAGATCACAGGCACTGGAATGTTAGATAATGATAATTTGAATAGTTAATTCATGATTTTCACAACACCCTTTAAGGAAGATATTATTATTATTATTATTATTATTATTATTATTTTGAGACGGAGTCTCGCTCTGTCACCCGGGCTGGAGTGCAGTGGCATGATCTCGGCTCACTGCAAGCTCCACTTCCCGGGTTCATGCCATTCTCCTGACTCAGCCTCCCGAGGAGCTGGGACTACAGGTGACTGCCACCATGCCTGGCTAATTTTGTTTTTGTATTTTTAGTAGAGATGGGGTTTCACCGTGTTAGCCAGGATCATCTT